ATTTGTGAAACTCTGTATTAGGGGTCATCAATAGCCCGATCACGGTTCTGACATTTATAAATGACGCTGAGGCCATTTGTCGCCAACATGGTTCTGAATACCTTCCCACTGAGTGGGATGCTGCGAAAATCCCATTCAGTGTAAAGGTATTCAGGTATTCCACTTGAGAAACTCCAACACTATCTCACCACGTGCCACATAAGGTACTTTTTCCACCTTATTTTGCGTTGTTCTCGATGCATGTTGACAAACTTCTCATTAGCTGTGTATACTCAACATTACGATTAGAAAAGAGCTCAGCAGAGCGGCTCCAAATGGACTCTCTCGAGCAAACTTTCCACTTCCACTCTTTGGCTTCTCAAGAATGCGTAGCAAAAATTGAACCGATTTAGTGACTCTTATATGGACCCTTACAACATGCAACAAAGCGCGTAATGACCTGAATCACCTCAACTGTAGCCCTCTCTCCTTAATGAGGTCTTCACAGCTAGGCACCAAGTTTTCGCATCTCACTAAGGCTGTCTCCCTGCCAGGCGCGAACCACCTCTTAATTAGGTGCTATCGTACCATTTATGGCTAACCCCTTGCGATGCTTTACACGAGACAACATGGGAAACTTCATTGAGGAGCATGCCAGAAAAAAATGAACAATTCAGCAGAAAATTATATAGGACTTACCAGACTTTGATCTCAAAAACATTCTTACTTCCTACTCAAGTGTCCACATAATTTTTGTACAATGAAATTTTTTCCAGTATTAAAAAATATGAAGTCGCTCACAAGTTGCTGCGAAGTATACTAAGGTTTCCGTATCCGAGGAATCGAAGGTTCCATTCCGACAAAATCAGAAGTTTTTTTTCTAAAGTCAAAATTTGGGGTGTCTACCTATACTCCACTAACTGGGCACCTAGAGGAGGAACATTAGGCGGATCGTATTTGCGTAGAATTTCCCCGCAAACGTAACAGACACGTGCCGCCTATCACCTATCAGGAGCACCTTGTAGATGGTTTACATCCATAGAGGCAACCGACAAACTGACATACTTATAGCTTTCCGGAGAGTTTACTCCAAGCGAACGAATTAAACAAAAGAAAAAGAGGGTCGACTCGCATCATCAAATCCGCATCAGTTTTCTTGCTGCTCGCATTTTTAGGGAATGATGCTTTACAGAAAAAGAGCATATAAATTTGATTTTGTAAAATCAGCTTCTTTGGAACTACACAGCCTCAAAAATTGGGTCGTGAACATTTATTTTCACAGGCACCAGCGCCTCTACTTTCGTGGAACACGTCAGAATAAATGGCAGCAGAACGCCAATTATTATTGTGACTCATGAAAGAGTACAGCCATATGATCGTGTACTTTTAACTAAGGTTTGACTTATATGGTTCGGGCTTTGATGTCAGTGAAAACGCCCTATGCTTCTATTATAGTATGTGTTCGCGTTGATAGTACTTCTTGTGCGTCGCGTCGTCTCTAGCTCGAGATGCTGGTCGTTGTTATCCCAACTGTTGACAGTAACACCTCAGTTTTACTCAGCATCCTCTCTGTAGTGGAACCCTAGGGAATATGATCGCTAAATTTGTCCGTTAGTGAAGTATGTGCGCTGGTTTTTGGGAGAGAATTCAGAACGTTTTGCGGTTCGGCGGCAGAACCTTTGAAGACCAACTGTTCACCTTTCTCCGTGAATCCTAATCTTTGCTATGTGGGATATGAATGGGTCTGCAGCTACAGTAGCGTGCGACTTTCTCTGATCGAAAGTGCACGGGAACGGGGCGCTGGGTAGTTATACCCAGGTGCCGCACTGCGATATGCACGCTCTTCTCGTCTGCGTCCTGTCACAAAAAGATCGGGGTCCTCAAGGTGAGCGTAGCGTATCCAGGAGGTGCACCAGTATAAATTCAACAAGTGGAAGATAGTGGTATCAACTCATGACAGGTGATTAGAAGCGTCTGTCACGAAATTCAAAATTCATAATTCTCTGTATATGCAAGCCAGCACGCAGTATATGCGATGGGATGGAAACATCGATAGGATTGATGGACACTAAGAAAGCTGGCAGGGAAGGTCAACAGGTCAGTCTGGCCTTTTGCAGCGAGGTGCACATTGCTGTATGCGACTTGAGACGATGAGCTATATCCACCTGCAAAATTTGCGGGAACGGTCCTCTCAACGGAGTTATTGACGCTTTCTTACAGTTCATCCTTGAAGGCGCGCTGCTTCTCAAGAACCGACACCGAAAATATTTTTAGCGCGCGAAATAGTCAACTTCGAACAAAACGGGTGTAATATCCGTGTTTGGGGGCTCAAGTAACTCCCAGCAGTGGCAGTCTAGCAGAAGCTGAGATTTTGTCACAACTTTTAAAAAGTTGGGTTGGGTTGGTTGCTTCGTTGAGAGAACATCTCCTTGAGTACAACGGTGTACACCGCATTGCAGATGATCGGACTGACCTGCTCTTTTCCTGGTGGGGTGAGAATATGTTGTCAGATCGTAACCCACCCAGTGACAGTGCAACAAACGTTCTTGTGAGCTAAAACGAGCAACAACTAATAAATTTAATGGGCGTAATTGGAAAGAATCCTCCATGGACTTTGCTATGTGTTCCCGTCGTGCTAACTAGGTGAGTAGAGAGTTCACGCTGGCAAATAGTTGCTGTAGCATGAGAACATCGATAACGGATTAGGCTGCGTTTATACTTTGCGGCAGCGTAGCGTAGCGCTTCCAGCGTACGCCAGCGGCAGTGCCGGGGAGAGGATGCATATCGATCTAGCGTTCCCAGCGTCACCAGCGTAACGCTAGCGTTTCGCCAGCGTTTTGCTGACGTTTGCAGCGGCAGGGGAGTAGAGACTATGTGGCCGTGAGAGACGCGCAATCGATGTGTTTTGTACCCTCCAGCTCTCCCATAGTCTCTACTCCCCTGCCGCTGCAAACGCTAGCAAAACGCTGGTGAAACGCTGGCGTAACGCTAGCGTTACGCTGGTGACGCTGGGAACGCTAGATCGATATGCATCCTCTCCCGGCACTGCCGCTGGCGTACGCTGGAAGCGCTACGCTGCCGCAAAGTATAAACGCACCCTTACATTGAAAGGCAGAAGCTGACGAGGACCGATAAGGGTCATTTATCATTTTTTGCTACGCCTGTGCGATTTAGTTCGTTCACTCGGCTACAATAACTTAAAGAGAGTACACGAGAACAAGTGTTCAGTGAGATGCCTTGGTGCATTGAACATCTGGGTCCGACCGCACTCGCATAGTGTGTACCACATTCGCCTCTCGACAGGGCGATATAAAGCGGCGGCGTGACTCTTGCACACCTTGTTATTTCCAGTCTGCAAGACAACGACTTACACGGTGAATTAGGTGAATGCATTTTGTTGTATGCAGTGTCGTAGCGATTCCATATGCTCGTCGCAGAGAATCGTGATTGTCGACTTTTCCATGAGCCTTACGAGTTGCGCTGCTTGCCCTGGATAGTAAGAATAATCGTAGGCAAGGTATGCAAGAGCAACGTCTGTTTACCGCTTTATCGCAACTGCTTTTCGAGAGGCATGTGCACGCCATCTTTGTGATCATCACAGAACCAGGGGGGTCGTATTTGCCCCGCCGATGGAAGGGGGGGGGGGGGGGGGGGGGGGGGGGTCGTAAACGCATGGCCCATGTTGAAGTGGAGAGAGCGGTGATACACGGTACAAGTAAAAAGAAGCTCAAAAGGGACGATGTAGATGACAATAAATAGAACTAGGCACTATCGAACTATTCCTAGGCCAAAAACTAAAAAAAATATTGCTGAAACTTTTTCCTCCTTCCTCACAAAAAACTTCAAGACACTTCGCCCACCAACCCTCCTCATCTGGTCTAGGTAAATCCCAATCCACTAATCCGCAAAATCTAGAAAAGAATCATTGCAAAAGCTACCTATGAAACCGTAGAAATTGAATCCTGAGCAATTTCCTCACAACAAAATCAAATTCAACAAAACAAAATTAAACTCAACAAAAACAAACAATCAAAGTAATTCACAATAAAATGGATAAGAAAAAACTCACCGCTCAGCTGGGAACCGGAACTATGGATTACTTTTGAATTTTGGCTGTTCGCGGTCAGCGCGCTCATACAAGCGCATTGGTGCGCGCTATTTTACGGTTTGGAGCCAATTTCAAGCCAAACACGTGAAAAGTACCCCTCATTTGAACACCCATAACTTCGTTGAAAGTGAAGCTATCGGAGAGGGTAAGTGGGAATGAGTAGAGCTGGTTGGCTCTTATCAACTGAATTGAGCGATTTCAAAAACGTTCCGATTCCAGAGATTTTCCCCGTTGTGATCATCGTTGTGATCCATCTGTGATCATTTTTGCGAACCGCGAGTCGCTACGCTTTGGACGTCCATGGCAAGCTTCATACACGACCTTTCGTAAAAAAAAAGAATGTGCCGGAAGCTTGAAGATTTCTACTTTCCAGCAAGGTTTTAATTTCCTTCCTAGACCTACTATTCGAAAAAATTCCCCGTTGTGATCATTTTGTAATCACCCCCACGACACCGAAAAATCAACCCTCCGAGGCCAGGAAACCTCCAGTTGGCTCGAAGACTTTGGTATGCTTCTGAAACACATGTTTTCGTCAAGCATATCAGGTAATAGGCCATTGGGCGCCAATTGGCATCACATATGCAATGCGCCATGCATGGGGCTTTCACGCAGGTGTTTGAAAGGTGTAACTTCTAGATAGGGCTTCCCAATTGCAAGCAAATGTGCTCCTACGATCAGAAAAGTCCGGGAATGTACTTTCATCTGTTTATTAATCGTGTCGTGAGTCCTCTTGTTGTTTATAAATTCATGGTGCCCTTGTGGGCGGTGATCGTAGCTCCTATCATCGCCCCTTCCTCGTACGTATTGTCAGTATGCTACACCAGCGCCAGAGTGCTGGACGTGCTTGGGACGTACGTAGGTACTGCGACCCCCCCCCGCTCGACAGCAAAATTTTGTAAAAAAACCAGAAACTTTTTGGGGAAAAAAAAACGCGGTAAGGAGGTTGGAAAAATCTAGGGAAGAGGTAACGTGGGGAGGGGGTCGTACTTGAAGATGGAATTAGGGGGGGGTCGTATTTTTCAGGAAATGATCACAACGCAATGGCGTGCCCTGTTCGAGAGGTGAAAAGAGTAACGCTATGCGAGTGCGGGCCTAGATTTTAAATGCGTGGAGGCATTTTGCTGATCACTTGATCGCGGACACTGTCTATAAGCACTGAAGGCCGAAAGATTGACTAGCATAACATTTATTCTTTGCCAATTGTTAACTGAAAAATTCACTTAACCGCTCATTCCATCTAATGCTGCAGGTTTGCAGAGATAAAGTGAAAGTGGAAACTGACCTCAGGTCAGGAATGTAGGTCAGATGCTCGTGATTGCAGTGTTCTCTGATCAGCCTCCTAAGCTGCCAGTACTTCGCGCATAGTACACACACTAAACACCACATTGAGCATAAGGCGCATTTACCTCAAAGCATTGGAAGTGCCATGCGAGTGCGATGGACTATCGCTATTCATTTTGGGTAGTTCTTCAGAGGCCATCGTCTAATGCCAACGATATACGATATCGAGATGATGACTTCTACCGCGACAACCACATCCTGATCAAGACGGGCACTAAGGTAAACGTCACATGATTATCAAGTTTTATACGAAACGTAATAACCATCACACACAACTTTGAAGCTCTTGGAGCTCATCTGAATCTGCAAACCCAGAGAATTCTCATTGGGCTGGCCCGTTTTTTTCTAACTGAAAATCTACGTGAATCATAAAAAGTTTGTCCATCACTTGCAATATTTATTATTGGGGGGAGGGTTCGCTCCAGAATTCAATATGCTCAATGTCCTTGAAGGTTCTATCCTCCCAGTAGTATTTCAGGGTCTAAAATGGAAGGTTCGCCATCTCTACTCTGCATTTCACTAAAAAGCTGTAACCGCAGCGGCTTATTTGCCAAGAACAGTCCTCATCATTACGTACTGTCGGGGCGGTTCAGTGCGGCTGCGTTTGGCGCGGTGCCAAACCCGCTCTCCACCAGTATTTAAAGCGAGCAAATGATATGACTGTATTATATCCTCCGTATTACTCGTTTTCTACCACTTTTTGTCGCATACGCGTTTCAACAAAAAGGCTGAGAACGGCTTCAACAGTGTGCACACTCATACTGGCTGACACGCCCCACCGGTCCGCAATGATGAGGACTGTACATGACCGAATAGCGATTTCTTCAGGAAACCACAAAACAGTTCAAGCAATTCGAAGATTCCCATTTCAACATCACCGGCAAACTTTGCACCTCGTAGCCTATTAAGTCAGACTAGAAGTTCACTGGATCAGCTTGTCATCGGGGCTGCATGCCAAAGAATGGGGAATCGGCTGGCTGAGGGATACTCCTAGCGGCGCCCGTGCCCGTACTGTACACTTACAAAGTCCAAATTCTAATCTTCCAATAGCTCAAACCATTTCTGAACCGCCTTAGGGAGACTTTCCTTCGTCATATACGTCGCGCGTTTTGGGCTGCCTTTGCAAGTTGAGAGCCTGGAATAACTGCAAAAAGATTTGTCAGAAATTTTCATCTGTGTCGACCCAAAACGGGACTAAGATCTGGAAAAAAAATCATAGAAGAGAATAGAGAACTAAGCGCAATGTCTTGAAGAGAAAATTGTCTTGTAAGTGAAAAACGGTAAAATATCCCGATTTTCACGCGACATTAATGTAGGAGAAAAAGTACCACTTAGATGTCTAATCATTACTAGAGAACTTCATTTCTGACTCTTGCTAAAGTTTTATTGTAGGTTGGTGCGATTGACACCAAAAGGCATAGCGTCGCTATGTCCACCGGGAAAAGGTGGCGATACAGCAAGCTTGTGTTAGCTCTCGGCGTTGTACCAAAAAAGCTACGAGTTCCAGGAGCGGACCTCAAGGTAGTTGTTTTATATGAGTAATACGATTACTATATAACTCTGCGCAGCTTTTCCGAAGCTTCAAAATCACTATTTTTTGAGCGGTCTTTCTGAATAAATATGGAGCCCTCATACTAAAAAGCTCCTGGCGAAAAGTGAAAAGGTCTAGCAAACTTTTGCGAGAGTTTGATGTATCGTTGTTTTCCCAATCCTGAGTATCCGCATAGTTTGCCCAGCTATCAGGAGCGCTTACACTTTTTCAATCTGAAATCATTAACGTACAGACGAGTGTTCAATGACATTGTGTTCTGTTTCAAGATACTGAAAGGAGAGCTAAGATTGAAACCCAGTAAATACTGATCGTTCAGGCCAACAAATGGCCGCATTTCCTCGTTGTCTTTGCAATCCTACTATATATAATCCGCTAAGTATGTCTGTAAGTGTGTGTGTGTGTGCGTCTGTCTGTCTGTCACGAAATTCATAGCGAGCGTCGCAGAAAAGATAGGACGACAGTTCCAAGAAGTGATATACATGGCAGGACGGGAACACTTTTGGTGGGTGATAGAATGTGATAGCACCTGATAAGATTCGATAAGGGGCCTTAGAAGGGGAGGGTGACCGAGCCCATAGTGCGGGACACAGTAACAGTGGGACATTGGTTCCAAGGTATGATATAGGACGTGGGACAGGAACATTATTGATGGGTGACAGGGAATGATAGCAGCTGATAAGATCCGTCAAGAGGCGTCAGAAAGGGGAGGGTGACCGAACCCATAGCGCGGGTCACAACAATAGCGGGATTTCAGTTCCAAGGTATTATATGATAGTTAGGACGTTGTTGGTGATGACAGGAACTGCTAGCAGCTGATGAGATTTGATAAGAAGAGCTGGGATGGAAAGGTCACCATATTCATGACGCGGCACACAGCGTCAGCCAGGCATTGATTTCAACAAGTGATATAGAGGGGGAGGTGGGACATCGACGTTCGGTG